ACACACACACACACACACACACACACACACACACACAATGACAATATTGAAAACACAAACTCATTTAAATATTCCTGTTCAACTTCAACATAAAAAAACAACAAAATCCACTACTTTCTTTTCCAGTTCATTGCCTTTTGTTTGGTTAAGATTACAATTTATTCATTAATTAGTGGATAACAGTGTGAAATGATGTAAATGAAAAAGTTAAATGTAAACAGACTGCAGTTAAACAGTGTTTTTCTGGTCCACTCAAAATCTTTTTACGTCACATTCACCAACTCATGGATAACAGTAGGTGCTCTTCCATCCTGAGCCACAACCACCCAGGTCACGGTACAGGACCTACACTCAGCTGGTTTCACTTTAGAATCAGAACAATCAGTTTTATCGTCCACCGGATGAGATTTTTATGAGCTGCGTTACGTAAAATCATGAATAAAAACAAAGTTTTGCACTGTTTCGTGAGGTAAAACCATGTTTTCTGCTCTACACAAGGATTAGTGCAGAGCTGTTATCTACAGAGGCTCATCAGCGATCAGTCAGAAGCTGAGCCGCAGATATTCTCACATCAGGACCAGACTCCAACCCCGGACCGATTCACCCCTCCCTCCCCTGTCGTCTATTATCTGCCGTCCAGGGCCTTGTCCCTGGCTATAACTGACTCATTGAACTTTATCATCAGAGTGGTGCCCTTGTGCCAGTGGGCGGTGACCTTGGCGGGGAAGCCGCTGTGCGTGAGGATGGCCTCCACCACGCCTGCAGTGAAGGCGGCGCAGTTCAAGCTGCTGTTCTCTTTGGGCACAGAGATGTAGGCGTTGATGAGCGGGTCTTTCTCGATGATGTAATAAGTCTTGTCGTCGTCGTTGGCCTGCTCCAGCTTGTCGGCCTCCTTCCCAAACAAAGACTTCCAAACGTTAACCTGAAAAACAGATACTTGTTAGTTTTTAAGTAAAATAAGAATTGAATCAATGTTTTTTTTTTTTAAAGCAGCTCACTTTGATGAAGAGCAGCATGTTGAGCACTTTGGTCTCCCTCTTCCCGTTCTTCTCCCTCAGCACCAGCACATCCAGCATGATGGCTCCCACCCTTTGGCCCATGTCTGCCAGCCGCGCCTGCAGCTCCGACACCGAGTACACGCGGCTCTGACAGTACTGGACCATCTCGGAGAACAGCAGAGCGAAGGCGCTCAGACTCACCTCCGTCTTGGGTCGGCTCAGGGGCCGCTCCAGGATGGTGGACTTCCCTCGAGTGAACCGCGTGTCCATTTCCTGTTGTCTGGGAATGATGTCAGAGACACATTTAGTGTGTTTATCAGTTACGGAAAAGACCAGAAGTCCATAAAATTTGCATCAAGCTGTTTTAGTGCAGGAACTGGGAAATTGTTTTCATACTGGCTGTAAGCTGGTCAAACCTTTCTGATCAAACATCATGTATGTATCATCAGTTTAGACATTTTCACAGGGTTAGAGCAAACTAACTGGAGACACTCAACATGAACAGAAATATTTTTCATATATATTTTAAGAGGTTTGTCTGTAAGTGAAATACATTATATTCAGTTTAATGCAACTTATAAAAAAACAGAGTTTACTATGCATCTCTCTTGAAACAGTGCAGATGGATTAAGTGCACCATCTGTAGGCATTTATTTACATTTTCCCCGATTGTTTACAGTGGTTTGATCCTAATAACGGTATTATTTTTTTGAACTGCTTTTTTAATCTAAGTAAATATTTGAGAGCATTTTACAATTTTCATTGTATTATTTGTCATTGACAAAAAAGACTCTTTGATTCAATAATTTTAAATCCTAAAACAGCCGATTTTTTTGTTAATTTAATAAACCACCAAACTAAAGACTTGCATACTTTAAAACATATATTTATATACACAACAAATGGGCAGAAACAACATCTGCATGAGTAATACTAAAAACATTTTTGTTTCATCAAATCAAATTGCAGCCGACAAGCTGAGATGTTAGCCCCAGATGTTCAGTGAAGAAACGCTGTAAGCAGACATCTTTCCAAACACCAGCTAAAAAACTCATTATATTACTTAGGATGCTTTACAACAAATAAGTAGTATTAAAATAAACGCACCTTTTTGTGTGTTGATGCTGTTTCCGTGTTTTCTTCTTCGTCTGTTTAAAAAAAAAAGAAGACAGAAGACCTGATTTAATTTGTAGTCCGCCACCTAGTGTTCCGGAGGTTTTAGCAACAGTAAACAGCTTCATATTTCTTTTCGGTCTGAAGCTACAGTGGTGGAAAAAGTACTCAAACACTGTACAAATAAACAGACAAAAATATACTCTAGTAAAAGTACCACATTAACAGTTTTACTTGAGTAAAAGTGAGTAAGTACTTGCTTTTATAAATACTTAAGTAAAACTGGCATAATGTGTTCTCAAATGGTCCACAATGTCATGAAGTGTGCCTACTGTATGTATATTTTTAATACATCAGTGGAGTGCCATTTTAGTGAACAATGCTGCAGATAATGCATGTTTTTGTGATTACCCTCTGTGACACTGTGCATCGTCGGATATTGTTACAACAGCTACAGAAGCTGTAAATTCAACACAAATCTCTAAAAAATCTCAGTGAGTCATTATTTTGAACTGGTTAACTTGAATAAGTCTTTTAGATAAGGCCATGGGTGCAGTGTTGTATAAAGTACCACAAAATGATACTTGAGTAAAAGTACAAGTATCTTACCAAGAAATGACTTTGGTAAAAGTTAAAGTCTCCTTTAGGAAAGTTACTTAAGTAAAAGTCTTAAAGTATCTGATATTTTATGTACTTCAGTATTAAAAGTAAAAGTATTGATTTAAAATGAGCAGTTAGATTTTCTGTAATGACATTTATTAGGAGGTGACCTCCTCAAAAAATGCAAAATGACTGTTGTATTAAAATAATGTTTAATTTGTGTTAAATTTAGGATGCACTAGTCTAGCTGTTTCAGTTTATATCAAGGGTGCCCAAACATTTTCCCCAAAATAAAAATCTGAGGGCTGCGGGACAAATACAATAATATATATAATTCATGAAATGCAAATACTTCTTAAATATACAGTCCTTTTATTTTAATGATTATGTACTGCTGGAGTGTGACATGATTTGTTTGTGTACAAACTAATACAGTATCAGAATTTTATATATTTATACTTCTCATTCAACCACAATTAAATCGATTCTGTCTAGGCGGCACAATTTATATGGATAGTATTTATTTTTTACAACAAGCTGCAATGAAAACAAGAAAAATGAAATAAAAGTAACAACTTTCTACTTCTCTTTTTTTAAAAATGCAAGGAGTAAAAAGCACAGACAATTGTGTGAAAATGTAAGAAGTAGAAGTAAAAAGTAGGCTGAAAAATAATTACTCAAGTAAAGTACAGATACCCCAAAATTGTACTTCAGTACAGTAAAGAAGTATTTGTTACAACTCTGCATGGGAGGCACATTTCCTCTGGCTGCCTCTCTGTGGTGGAATCCATTTTGGGTGTGGTTCTGCCGCTGATGCTCCAGCAGGTGATGATTCGCCTCGCTCTTCTACAAGGAGGGTCTAATGGTATTTCCCTGCTTTGCAGTGGTTCAGTGGACCAATTCCCATCTCGCCATTGATACTTTCAAACTAAAAAAAAAATAAAAATAAAATAAATTAAAAAAAAACGTAATGTGACAAGATGTGAATGTAATGCAAAGCATTACATAAATGTAGTGGAGTAGAAAGCACAGAAACTTAATATAAAATATACTGTAGAGGAGTAAACGTTGAAAGTACCCATGATTAAGTCTACTTAAGTAAAGTACAGATTCATGAAAAATGTACTTAAGAACAAAGTCCCTCCAGGTAGGAAACTGATTGACAGCCTATGCCCCAGACGGGGCCACAGGTGGAGATAAGATGACAGTAACAAAGTACTTGTACTTTGTTATATCCCACCACTGGCTACAATTAGGTCTTGATTATTGCAAACCAGTCGAGAACCCTTTAATTTTTGCTAGGATTAGTACAATTTTATTGTTTATTTGTTTTTTTTTTCCTGCTGATAGGAGGCCAATTTTTATTATTTTCTGGTGGCCTGAGCATTGTGCGACGTGCCAGTAGCTTTTTATTACACATCATGGTCTGGAGCGCCCTGGTGCACAAGTTAGAATACAACTTGATCAATGAAAATCTTCACAGCAGTCAGCAGACATTGACTTAAAAAGAATATTTGTGCGGAAGCAGTCTAGATATAAAGAAAGTTATTTTGTTTAAATTGAAACACTTTCATTTATCTAAAAAAGCTATTCTGATGATCACATAAGTGTTGATGGAATGAGTGCCGTGTAGGCRTCCCACAGGGCTCTGTTCTTGGCCCAGCTCTGTTTACCATTTTAATTTATGGTTTATACAATGATTAATGTCTAAATGTACATCGTCACTTTTTTAGTCAACCGTAGCACGGAATCGATTGCACCAGCCAACGGTGTAGACTCTGTTTGAAGAGGAGGCTTCAACTAAAAGGGGGTGTCTGGACATTCAAAAATGCTTTTAACTCAAAAACTTTTCAACTTAGGAACTTCAGATTTATTTATTTATTT